CTGGTACAGGCGCGCGCAGGCCCGCGCCTGCGCCTCCTGGCTGCCTGGGAGGGCACGGCGGGCGAGGAGGCCCAGAGGGCGGGGGCGCGAGGACACGGGTGCACGAGGCCGAGGCAGGCCCGGGACACGAGGACACGAGGGGGAGCGGGGACACGAGGACACGAGGCCGAGGACACGAGGACACCGAGGGGCAGCGGGGACACGAGGGGGAGCGGGGACACGAGGACACGAGGCCGAGGACACGAGGACACGAGGGGGAGCGGGGACACGAGGACACGAGGACACGAGGACACGAGGCCAAGGACACGAGGACACCGAGGGGGAGGCGGGGACACGAGGGCACGAGGCGGAGCGGCTTCGCCTCGAAATAAAACACGTCAAGGCCAGGGCGGGATTTCAAATCGGGGGCCCGCCGCAGACCTCCGCGGGAGTGGATCACGCCGCGGGCGAACGTGCGGGTGGCTCCTCTCCAAGAGGCCTCCACGACGCCCCTGGCAAATCACCAAGGACCCTCGAAACGGCACTAAGAGGCCCCCCAGATGCCCTCAAGAGGCTCGGGCAAGCATCCAAGATGCATTCAAGAGGGAGGAGAAAGGAGAGGGAAGAGGAGATCGAGTTCACGACACGCCCCCCGTTTCAGAACGCTCGCGAACTGCTGCGGGGCGTGAACTCGACATCCTGCCTGCCACGCGGACGAATACGAGCTCGAGCTTACGACGTGCCCCAATTCGGACCGCTCGCTGAACTGCCGCGGGGCGTGAATTCGACATCCTTCATACCTCGCGGGCGAATTGCGACCCGCCTCGCATCAAACAGCTCGGAGAAATTCAACTGTTCCTGAGTTCAGACTCCTCCCTACTACGCTGTTGCACAGGCACGGTGGCGGGATTTCCCGCAGGCAGCTGGATGCATCGTGACATTGGGGGGAGTGCGGGAGGAGGGAGGAGGAAGGGAAGGAGGGTGGGCGGAGGGAGAGGGAGGGAGGGAGGAGGAGGAGGAAGTCGTTTCATCCTCCGCCTCCTCCCCCCCCAAGCTGTACTTCCCCCAACTCCCCATTCCTTCCCTCCCCCTCCCCTGCCTCCCCTGCCTCGATAGGGGCAAAGGCTCCGCCCTCCCTCCCCCTCCCCCCCCCTCCCCCTCACCCTCCCTCCCCCTCCCTTCCATCCCCCTCCCTCCCCTGCCTTGCCTCCCCCTCCCTCCCTCCCCCTCCCCCTCCCTCCCCGTCACCCCCTCCTCCCCCTGCCTTGATAGGGGGGGCAAGGGCTCCGCTTCAACCAGCAGCGGAGGGAAGGGGGCCGACACGTGCCCCATTGGACTGCTGCAGAAGCACGACGCTCGAGAATGCCAGGATGGCGGCAGGGCGACGTGGCTCATCCTCCTTCTCCTCCTCCTCCTCCTCCTCCTCCTCCTCCTCCTCCTGCTCCTCATCCTCCTCCTCAGCAGCAGCAGCATCACCATCAGCATCATCACCATCATCATCATGATCATCAGCAGCAGCATCATCAGCATCATCATCAGCATCAGCAGAATAATAGTCATCATCAGCAGCAGCAGCAGCATCATCATCATCATCATCATCATCATCATCATCATCATCCTCATCCTCATCATCATCATCATCAGCATCAGCATCAGCATCATCATCATCATCATCATCATCATCATCATCGTCATCATCAGCAGCAGCAGCATTAGCATCATCAGCAGCATCATAATCATCATCGACAGAATCATCATCATCATAATCATCATCAGCACCAGCAGCCGCATCATCAGCAGCATCAGCAGCAGCATCATAATCATCAGCATCATCATCAGCAGCATCAGCATCATCATCAGCATCATCATCATCATCAGCAGCATCATCATCATCAGCATCATCCTCATCATCAGCATCAGCGTCCTCATCATCAGCATCACCCTCATCAACATCAACATCATCATCATCATCAGCAGCAGCATCATCCGCATCATCATCAGCATCATCATCAGCATCCTCATCATCAGCATCATCCTCATCGTCATCATCATCCTCATCATCAACAGCATCATCAGCAGCATCATCAGCATGATCATCATCATCATCAGCATCATCAGAAACATCAGCATCGTCATCAGCATCAGCAGCATCATAGTCCTCCTGCTCCTCCTCTTCCTCCTCATCAGCATCATCAGCAGCAGCAGCATCAGCATCAGAATCATCATCAGAATCATCAGCATCATCAGCATCATCAGCAGCATCAGCAGCAGCAGCAGTATCACAATCATCACCAGCATCATCATCAGCATCATCATCATCCTCATCATCAGCATCACACTCATCATCATCAGCATCATCATCATCCACATCACCATCATCATCAGCATCATCATCATCATCATCATCAGCATCATCAGCATCAACAGCATGATCATCTTCATCATCAGCAGCATCATCCTCATCATCAGCATCGTCAGCATCAGCATCATCATCATAATCGTCATCGTCATCATCATCAGCATCATCACCATCATCATCAGCATCATCATCAGCATCATCATGAACATCATCAGCATCATCATCATCACCGCCACCACCATCACCATCACCACCACCATCATCATCACCGTCACCATCACCGTCACCTTAATCATCATCGGCATCATCATCATCAGCATCAGCAGCATTACCAGCAGCATCACCATCATCATCCTCAGAATCATCATCAGCAGCAGCATCATCATGATCATCATAATCAGCATCATCATCATCACTATCATGATCAGCATCGTAATCATCAGTATCATCGTCGTCATAGTCATCAGCATCAGCATCTCCATCGTCGCCATCATAATGCTATTAAGAATAAGCATTATCATCATCAGGATCATCATAATCATCATCATCAATCAGCATCATCTGCATCATTAGCATCATCATCATCATCATCATCATCATCATCATCATCATCATCATCATCATCATCATCATCATCATCCACCATCATCCACTACCACCATCATCAGCAGCATCAGCATCAGCATCAGCATCAGCATCAGCATCAGCAGCAGCATCATCAGCATCATCATCCTTACAACCTTGCAGATGAGGGCAGTGGCAGGTTGAACCTCGATGCCCTCCTCCTGCTCCTCCCACTCTGGCCCCTGCCAGGGGGCCTGTCTGGTGAATGCTCACGTTCTGAAGGAACTGCTCCTCCTCAACAGCGGCCAGCATCTGCTCCTGACAGCGTCGCTACGCATCGGGAGCGTGTGAGCGTCGCCATGCTTCTGCCGCTGCCCCCCTGCGAAAATCGCCTGTTGATGTGCGTAGCTCGAAGGAACATGTGATAGAAGACGAACAGTATTAACAGCGTGACGAAACGTGTTAGCCAAGATACAACGACGACGATTGTGATAAACCAGAGCCGGCGGACCAGATGAACAAGAAGGCAAACGTTGCGATTTAAATTAAATGTGTCTCGCCACATCTATATATATATATATCTCCGCCAGCCAGCCCCCTTGCGGGGCCACCAGGCTTCAAAACGAGGGCCCAACACCACAGGATGGTTGGGAAAAACGGCGCATGATATCGCCCAAACCGTTCGGTCCGAACCCGAATACACACATGTTTGATCTGCGGGGCGAGAGCGAACCTCTTCCGCTGAAAGCTAGGCGGGCTGCAAGCACTGCAGCACTGCAGAAGGACCCGAAAACACACGTGTACACTTCCGAAAGGTCCGCGCGGATGTCTGAGATCGGCGCCTGGCCCCACTCCCTGGCGCGCCGGGGGCAGCGCCGGGGGCGGCGCCGGAGGAGGCGCCGCCCGGGGCTTCTGGCGCCGACCCCCAGATATCCGCTCGAGCACTCGACATGCCAAGCTTTCTCCTCCTCCTCCTCCTCCTCCTCCTTCTCCTCCTCCTCCCGTAGCCATTTTGGCTCAAGTCCTCGGCCTCTGGGGGCCGAGGACACCACAGCATTTCACTTCTGGTCAGGTCCAGGAGCTTGGGGCTCGAACTTTTCGCGTTCGATCCGCCCCCAGAGTTTTTTCGGATCGTTCCCCTCCAGTCTGCCATGCCCACCGAGGTCGCACGCCTGGTACCAGGCTCCATCGCCTTCACGTTCTACACGGACAGTCAGAAGGAGGAGCACGAGTGCGGAGTGACCAGCGCCTACACCACTCAAGACTTCTACACCGAGCAGAGGCACTACAAGGTCGTCATCGATGCCCCAGGCCATCGCAACATCAGCAAGGACGTCAACCTGCAGAAGAAGTCTGACAACATGGGCTGGTGGAAGGGCTGCGATGTCACGTACGGCAAGGACTGCGTTACCCACAGATACAAGCAGTTCCGCTATGCCGAAATTGCAAACGAAATGAATATCATGCGGGTCAAGGACGGGTGGAACAAGGACTTCGACGAGAAGGCCACGCCTGCTATGCCAGTCTCCGGCTGGATGGGCGACTACTTGCTAAGAAGTGCGTCGTCGAGAACGGCAAGGCTGTGGAGAAGGACTGCGCTGACTTGCTAAAGAAGTCTGACAACATGGTCTGGTGGAAGGGCTGCGATGTCAAGTTCGACAAGGCCGACGCCCACCGCAGCGCTGAAGTCCATCGCGTTCCATCAATTTGTTTGCCTTTTCTGCCTGCCTTCGATGTGGCTGGCCAGCAGAATCAGTTGTGCATGATGCCAAGTGTTGCAGTGTCTCTGGTATGTGGTCTGGGGCGGGGCAGAGACCTCGCGGAACGACTGGGGCGGGGCAAAGGCTTCGCAGAATGATGAATTGACCTGTTGGAGCGGAGATGTCCGCGGGATTAGTCTTCCCCGGTCTCTTTGTGCTGCTTCAATTCAATGTTTGTGAAGAGTTTGACTGGGCAGGTCGAGAGCCTCACAGGAGGTGAGGTGCTTCCCTGCGTCAGCGTATGCAACACTTTCTGCGCGGCATAAATTCACTCCAGTTGTAAGTATAGCCAGTCGGATTCCACTCACTGCTTGCCTTGAAGGCGCGTGGGCCACTTTCGCCCAAGCCGAAAGGTCGATGGCCCTCGCGTGCTGCCTGGAGTCCCCACCCCTTCACAGGAGGCGGCTCTTTCTTGGTGCACGCTCCCTGTCTCCCACCACGAGCTGATCCTCCTCCTCCTCCTCCTCCTCCTCGTCCTCCTCCCCCCTCCCTCCCTTCCCTTCCCTTCCCCTGAGCCAGGCGGCCCCGAGCACGCCGTCTGCGTGCTCTGGGCCGCCCCGGTGCCTTGGTCCATTCTTTTCCGGCGGGCTGGCGGGCGGAGGCGCGCACACCGCTCTTGCCTCGGCCCTGCGGCAGCAGAAGACAGTCGATGGTCGGCACACGGACTGCTATGCTGCTGCGTCCAGGCGGCCCTCCCTCCCTCTCTGGCGCCCCTCCCGCACGCCTCCAACATCCCATCCCCGCTCCTTCTCCCTCTCTCCCCTCCCTCCCTCCTCCGTCCTCCATCCTCCTCCCTCCTCCTTTTCTCGCATGTCCACCCGAGCCCCGCACCCCCAGCACCGCGCCCCCTGTTCCCTCCTCTTTCCCTTTTCATTCCTCCCTCCCTCCTCTCCCTCCCGCACTCCCTCCCGACGTCACCTCCTCCCTCCACCTAAAACAGCCCTCCCAGTCCCTCCCGCCGTCACCTCCCTCCCTCCCTCCCCTCCCCTCCCCTCCCCTCCCTCCCTCCCTCCCCTCCTCCCCCCCCCTCCCTCCCCTCCCTCCCCCCTCCCGACGTCACCTCCTCCAGCCCTCTAAAACGGCCCGGGGGGGGAGAGGGGGCACCCGAGCGGGCCCCCGTCCCCATCACTGAGGGAGGCCCCCTGGCGCTGGGGCTGTGGCCCGGGCCCCGAGAAACGAAGAGCGCCACCCACCGGGCATGGCCTCTTGAAGGACCGGCCCCGGCGGCGCTCCGCCTCTGAGCGTAACTTCCCATGCGCAACTGAACAGTGCAGGGAGAGAGGGGGCCATCCTCCCTGCCTCCCTCCCTCCTTCCTCCCTCCCTCCCTCCCTCCCTCACTCCCGCCCCCCTGCTCCCGCCTCCCTCCTCCCATCCCTCCCCTCCCTCCTCCGTCGCCCGGCCAAGACGCCCAAGATGACCTCCAAGACGGCCCTGGAGCACCCCAAGAGGGCCTCAAGTCGGCCCAGAGAGGCCCCCAAGACGGCTTCGGACGGCGTGACACGGGCCATGAGCCCACCAAGACGGCCAAAGAGGCCCCCAAGAAGCCCCCAAAGGCCCCCAAGAGGCCCAAGGAGGCCCCCAAGATGCCTCCAAGAGGCTCCCAGGAAGCTCCCAGGAGGCCCCAAGAGTGTCCCCAGAGGCTCCCAAGATGCTCCCTCCTCCTCCTCCTCCTCCTCCTCCTCCTCCTCCTCCTCCTCCTCCTCCTCCACCTCCTCCTCTGCCTCCTCCTGATCTTCCCCGCCACCCTCCCCCAAGTGTTCCCCGAAGGGTTTCCACAACGGTTGGAAGAACACATGGTCCGATAGCTTGGCAGAGCTCTGGCCACAACGCTCGCCCACATGGGCGATTCTAGAAGGCAGGGGGCGGCTGTGATTCGCCGTAGGCGTCTTCGATCCGCCGCCCCCTGTTGGCTTACCACAGGGGTGCCCGGCGTGCTAAGCCCTGCCGCTCTTGGTTTTGGCTCTTTTTCCAAACATAACTATCCCTGTGGCTTCGGCCCGTCCCAACGGCCAAGGCCAGGAATTCCCAGAAAACTTGTCCCAAGACGGCCCAAGATGGATCTCAGGACCGCCAAAATAGCCCAAGATGGCTTCCAAGATGCCTCCAAGATGGCCAAGATGGCCTCCAAGACGGTTCCGATGGCCCCAAGGTGCCTCCAAGACGGCCCAAGCTGCATCCAAGACGGCCTAAGATAGCCTCAAGATGGACCAAGACGGCCCAAGAGGCCTCCAAGAGGCCTCCAAGACGGCCCAAGAGGCCTCCAAGAGGCCCTTCAGAAGGCCCGAAGAGGCCAAAATCATTGATTTTCATTTGGTGTTTGAAGGATTTTAGAGTTTGCGTCTCTTCGGTCCTCCGACGGCCCGAGATGGTCCAAGAGCCCCCAAACATCGCCCCACGATCGCCCAAGAGGCCTCCAAGAGGGCCTCAGAACGGCCCGAGAGGCCCCAAAAATGGTCCCAAGAGGGCCCCGAAACGGCCCAAGAGGCCTCGAAGACGCCCAAGATGGCCTCCAAGACTGCCCTGGAGCACACCAAGAGGGCCCGGCCCCAAGTCGCCCCAGAGAGGCCCTCAAGACGGCTTCCGAGGGCGTCAGACGGGCCAGGAGGCCACCAAGACGGCCCAAGATGGTCCAAGACAGCCCAAGAGGCCGCCAAGAGATCTGCGCCCAAGAGGCCTCCAAGAGGTCCTCCAGGAAGGCCCGAGGAGGCCAAAATCATTAATTTTCCTAAGATTGTTTCAAGGACTTGGGCATTTGCTTCAGTTCGGTCTTCCGACGGCCCGAGACGGCCCACAAGCCCCCAAAGATCGCCCCAAGAGGCCTCCAAGAGTGCCCCAGACCGGCCCAAGAGACCCCCGAGAGGGCCCCAAGAGGGCCCCGAAACGGCCCAAGAGGCCTCGAAGACGCCCAAGATGGCCTCCAAGACTGCCCTGGAGCACACCAAGAGGGCCGTCGCCCCAGAGAGGCCCTCAAGACGGCTTCCGAGGGCGTCAGACGGGCCAGGAGGCCACCAAGACGGCCCAAGATGGTCCAAGACAGCCCAAGAGGCCGCCAAGAGATCTGCGCCCAAGAGGCCTCCTAGAGGTCCTCCAGGAAGGCCCGAGGAGGCCAAAATCATTGACTATCCTAAGGTTTTTGAAGGACTTGGGCATTTGCTTCAGTTCGGCCTTCCGACGGCCCGAGACGGCCTACAAGCCCCCAAAGATCGCCCCAAGAGGCCTCCAAGAGTGCCCCAGAACGGCCCAAGAGGCCCCCGAGAGGGCCCCAAGAGGGCCCCGAGACGACCCAAGAGGCCTCGAAGACGCCCAAGATGACCTCCAAGGCGGCCCTAGAGCATCCCAAGAGGGCCCCAAGAAGTCGGCCCAGAGAGGCCCCCAAGACGGCTTCTGACGGCGTCAGAAGGACCAAGAATGCCCTAAGACGGCCAAAAAAGCCCCCGAGAAGCCCCCAAAGGCCCCCAAAGGCCCAAGGAGGCCCCCGAGATGCCTCCAAAAGGCTCCCAGGAAGCTCCAAGGAGGCCCCAAGAGTGCCCCCAGAGGCTCCCAAGATGCCCCCTCCTCCTCCTCCTCCTCCTCCTCCTCCGCCTCCTCCTCCTCCTCCTCCACCTCGATCTCCACCTCCTGCTCCTCTTCCTCCTCCTCCTCCTCCTCCTCCTCCTCCTCCTCCTCCTCCTCCTCCTGCTCCTCCTCCTCCTCCACCTCCGCCTCCTCCTCCTCCTCCTCCTCCTCCTCCTCCTCCTCCTCCTCCTCCTCCTCCTCCTCCTCCTGATCTTCCCCGCCATCCAGGTGTTCTCCGAAGGGTTTCTACAAGGGCTGGGGGAACACATGTCCCGATAGCTTGGCAGAGCTCTTGCCACAACGCTCGCCCACATGGGCGATTCCAAACGCAGGGGGCGGCGGTGATTCGCCGTAGGCGTCTTCGATCCGCCACCCCCTGTGGTCTTGCCAAAAGGGTGCCTGGCGTGCTGGGACCCTAGACGGGATGGTTTTGGTCATCGAAAGAACTCTCCCTGGGGCATCGGCCCGTCCCGCCGGCCACCCGAAAGGCCGCACAAGGGCCCGGAACTCTCCGAAAAATTGCCCCCCAAGACGGCTCAAGATTGCGTTCAGGACCACCGAAGTGGCCCAGGATGGCCTCCAAAATGCCGCCAAGATGGCCAGGATGGCCCCCAGCACGGCCAAGATGGCCCCCAGGTTGCCTCCAAGATGGCCCGAGACGGGTGCAGGTACGCCGGCCTCCGTCCTCGACCGCTCCAGGTTCGACGCGTCGAGGAGGCGCTCGGTTTTTCAAGGGCGCCCAACTTCGTGCTTCGCGCTGCGCGAAGCGCGACGCGCGAATGACTTCGCGCCCTCGCGCCGCCCCCAGGGGAGAAGAGAGGGGGAGTGGGGAGGACGAGGAGGAATCTGAGCCGAACCGCGAAGCGCGAGGCGCGAACAACTTCGCGCCCTCGAGGGCGCCCTTGTTTTTACAGGCTCCCCTGGGGACAGAAGCAGTCCCCCGGCCGCGCCCGGGACAAAGCGTCTCCATCCCCATCCATTCGACCCCACCCCCACCCCCCTCATTGTTGCCTGGGCGGTGCGACCGGAGTATGGCGGCGAGGGGAGGGGCTGGCGGGGGGGGGGGCCTTCCCTGTCCCTCTCTGCGGCCCCCCCAGGTTGTGCATAGAAAAAAACCGAGATGTGCCGCCTGCTGGCCCGCTGGCTGAACCCGACCGTGCGGGCGGAAGACGAGGCGAGGCGAGGCGAGACGGCCCGAGATGCCTCCACGACGGCCCAAGATAGCCTCAAGATGGCCCAAGGCGGCCCACGAGGCCTCCAAGACGGCCCCAGAGCTTCCAAGGAGGTTTCCTAGGAAGGCCCGAAGACGTCAAGATCGTTGATTCTCCTACGGTGTTTGAAGGATTTGGGCTTTTGCGCGTCTTCGGTTTTCCGACGGCCCAGTGTGGCCCAAGAGGCCCCCAAGGTTACCCCAAGATCGCCCAAGAGGCTTCCAAGATGGCCCTATGACGACCCACGAGGCCTCCGGCTCCCAGGAAGCTCCCAGGAGGCCCCAAGGGTACACCCAGAGGCTCCCAAGATGCCCCCTCCTCCTCCTCCTCATCCTCCTCCTCCTCCTCCTCCTCCTCCTCCTCCTCCTCCTGCTCCTCCTCCTCCTCTTCCTTCTCCTCCTCCTCCTTCTCCTCCTCCTCCTCCTGATCTTGCCCGCTATCCTCCCCCAAGTGTTCCCCGAAGGGTTTCCACAACGGTTGGAAGAACACATGGTGGCAGAGCTCTTGCCACAACGCTCGCCCACATGGGCGATTCTAGAAGGCAGGGGGCGGCGGTGATTCGTCGTAGGCGTCTTCGATAACACAATGCGGGCCACTCGCGCCAGTCGGCCGCGCGCGCATGTCGAAATTATCCCGAAGCGTGGACACCATTATCGTCATCGGCGTGATCAACACCAGCGCCATCATTGGCGTTGCCGTGGTCATCGTCATCATCGTTACCAGTACCGCTACTGTCATCGTGTTTACCGTTGCCGACGTCGCTCTGATACCGCGCCCGCCCGAGTCACCGACTCGCACCGAAATGCCCGCGCGGGCGCAAGTGCAGCCTGCGAGACGCGCTGGAAAGTTCAAGCGATGCGCCAGCCAGTGCCAAACAGTCATCGCAATCGACGCTGCATGGGTTTTGCAAACCAAATTGCGGGTAGGTGGGTGGGATGATTGCGCGAAGAGTGGAGTTGGCAACTCATTGCGAGCAAACCCAAACATGTATTGAGCATACCGCTTGGACCTAGTTTGCACCCCATGGATTGCACAGCATGTATTACACCACATCGAGGGCACAACAGATATGGCACCACATAGATTGCATCACATCTTTGCGCCATTTACTTTGCATCACATATGCTGCACAAGATAGGTTGCTAGATTATCCCGGCAAAGCAACCTAACAGCGTTGTGTGTAAGCATATCTGGAAGCATTCCCCTTCAGATTCAGGTGAGAATCCAGGTGTAGAATTCTGCTGGTCTCGCAGTCGCAGTCGCATTCGCAATGACAGTCGCAGTGGCAACGGCCTTAGGATCCAATGGAATCCTAAGGATTTCTAGGGATTCCTAAGGATTCCTAAGGCATCCTTAGCCATCCTTAGGAATCCATAGGGATCCTTAGGAAACCGTAGGAATCCTTAGGAATCCTGATTCCTAGGGATTCCTAGGGATTCCTAAGGATTCCTAGGGAATCCTAAGGATTCCGAAGGATTCACCTGCCTCGGCCTCAGCCTCAGCCTCAGTTTCAGCCTCAGCCTCAGCCTCAGCCTCAGCCTCAGCCTCAGCCTGTCTCAGCCTCAGCCTGACTCGGCATCAGCCTCAGCCTCAGCCTCAGCCTGCCTCGGCTTGCCTCGGCCTCAGCCTCAGCCTGCCTCGGCCTCAGCCTCAGCCTCAGCCTGCCTCAGCCTCAGCCTCAGCCTCAGCCTGCCTCAGCCTCAGCCTGCATCAGCCTCAGCCTCAGCCTGCCTCAGCCTCAGCCTGCCTCGGCCTCAGCCACAGCCTCAGCCTCAGCCTCAGCCTGCCTCAGCTTCAGCCTCAGCCTCAGCCTGCCTCGGCTTGCCTCAGCCTCAGCGTCAGCCTGCCTCAGCCTCAGCGTCAGCCTCACAGCCTCAGCCTGCATCAGCCTCAGCCTCAGCCTCAGCCTGCCTCAGCCTCAGCCTCAGCCTGCCTCAACCTCAGCCTGCATCAGCCTCAGCCTCAGCCTGCCTCAGCCACAGCTTGCCTCAGCCTCAGCCACTGGCTCAGCCTCAGCCTCAGCCTCAGCTTCAGCCTCAGCCTCAGCCTGCCTCGGCCTCAGCCTGCCTCAGCCTCAGCCTCAGCCTGCCTCGGCTTCAGCCTCGGCCTCAGCCTCGGCCTCAGCGTCAGCGTCAGCCTCTCAGCCTCAGCCTGCATCAGCCTCACGCTCAGCCTCAGCCTGCCTCAGCTTCAGCCTCAGCCTCAGCCTGCCTCGGCTTGCCTCAGCCTCAGCGTCAGCCTGCCTCAGCCTCAGCGTCAGCCTCACAGCCTCAGCCTGCATCAGCCTCAGCCTCAATCTCAGCCTGCCTCAGCCTCAGCCTGCCTCAGCCTCAGCCTCAGCCTGTCTCAGCCTCAGCCTGCCTCAGCATCAGCCTCAGCCTCAGCCTCAGCCGGCCTCGGCTTGCCTCGGCCTCAGCCTCAGCCACAGCCTCAGCCTCAGCCTCAGCCTACCTCAGCCTCAGCCTGCATCAGCCTCAGCCTCAGCCTGCCTCAGCCGCAGCTTGCCTCAGCCTCAGCCACGGCCTCAGCCTCAGCCTCAGCCTGCCTCAGCTTCAGCCTCAGCCTCAGCCTGCCTCGGTTTGCCTCAGCCTCAGCCTCAGCCTGCCTCGGCCTCAGCCTCAGCCTCAGCCTCAGCCTCAGCGTCAGCCTCAGCGTCAGCCTCTCAGCCTCAGCCTGCATCAGTCTCGGCCTCAGCCTCAGCCTGCCTCAGCCTTAGTCTCAGCCTGCCTCAGCCTCAGCCTGCCTCAGCATCAACTTCAGCCTGCCTCGGCCTCTGCCTGCCTCAGCCTCAGCCTCAGCCTGCCTCAGCCTCAGCCTGCCTCAGCCTCAGCCTCAGCCTCAGCCTGCCTCGGCCTCAGCCTGCCTCGGCCTCAGCCTGCCTCAGCCTCAGCCTGCCTCAGCTCGGGCATTCAAAATATGGCACAGGACTGCTGTTCTGGGAACACGAAGATCACGAAGTGGCCCACAGCTGGCTCTGGGCAATCAAAATATGATACAGGAAAATGTTCCGGGAACACGAAGAACACGAAGTGGCCTACAGTTGGCTCAAGGCATTCAAAATGTAGACTGGGAGTGGTGTTCCGGGAGCACGAAGAACACGAAGTGGCCTACAGTTGGCTCCGGGCATTCAAAATGTAGCCGGGGAATGGTGTTCTGGGTACACGAAGAACACGAAGCGGCCTACAGTTGCCTCCAGGTATTCAAAATGCGGCCTGGGAATGGTGTTCTGGGAAGACGAAGAACACGAAGTGGCCTACGGTTGGCTCCGGGCATTCAAAATGTGCCCTGGGAGTGGTGTTCTGGGAACACGAAGAAGACGAAGTAGCCTGCAGTTGGCTCCGGGCATTCCAAATGTGGCCTGGGAATGGTGTTCTGGGAACACGAAGAACACGAAGTGGCCTACAGTTGGCTCCGGGCATTCAAAATGTGGCCTGGGAATGGTGTTCTGGGAATGGATTCCTAAAGGTTCCTAAGAATTCCTAATGATTCCTGATGATTCCTGGGGCTGCAGTTTTGTCCGGATCTGTCCGGATCCCGCCCAGACCTTCCTGGGGCGTCAAGATGCTCTCTTTTGATACCACTAGAACCCTATCAGCAAAAGCTGTTAGGTAAAAAACACCCTTTGGGGTCCACGCTGGCTAACATGTGTCGCGTCTTCGAAAGCTGCTTAGAATAAATCTTTTTGGAATGCCAAAGGCCTTCCGACCTTCTGAGAATGCCTGGCCCCTTCTGCGTTCCCTCCTGGGTTCGCCGCCGGCAAGAACTAGACGAGCTGCTACGAAAACCTAGACGAGTTGCCGCCGCGCCCCGCGCCCCCACCACCGCCTCACGAGGGAGCCCTCGACAGCCTGGCCGCTCGCGAGCCGCCCGCGGTCTGACGCGAAGGAGAGGGATCCGTGCATGCACCCGAAGGGGCAACGTCGGGGGGAGGCCAGCAGACCGTCGTTTAATTTTCGGCGATCACCCAGAGTATCTGGTGCGGGGGGGGAGGGGACGGCCAAGCACCCTACCTTTTCGCTTTGGACAGCCCCACGCATGCCCGCGCGCACCAGTGCCCATCGGTTGGAAGAAGCATGCAGAAACATGAAGTAGGCGCTTAAAGTAGATCGGGTAGAAGTAGGAAGGCGCTGAAAGTAGATTGGGTGTACGCCTGCCCACTTGGGAGGACGGAAGAGGTGAAGCCACTGAAGTAGGAAGGCGCTTACATGAGATCGGACTCAGGGACTCTCAACATATCTACTTTGAACGACCGATGGGTACTGCGCACCACCTTCAGACCTGCGCAACCGACACGATCAAGTCATCCGGGGGGGGAAGGGGGGGGCAGGCGGACCCGATGATCCGGGTTATCGCCGGACCCCTGGAACACAGTCTCCATCGACCTGACATCGTCGATATAATTCAATAGAGGCCTCCCAGATGGGGTCGGAGTAGATGGGGTCGGAGGATCGCGCCGCATCGGCGATACATCGGCGATCCGCATCGAGCCGCATCGGCGATGCATCGGCGACGCGGCGCGATCCTCCGACCCTATCAACTCGGACCCCATCTGGGAGGCCTAGAATACATCGCCGACAGAGCGACGATGGGCCCCCGATACCGAATCCGCACGGTCCTGGGTGGGGCGAGGCCCTCGGGCCCCTCGTCGACCGTCCGTGGGCGCTTCGGAGTCGACACGAACCCAGGCGGCCCCAGCATCGAATCGATAAGCCGGGTCGGGTCGACCGGAGCATCGATGAAGGGGCCCTGGGACACACAAATAAATACACACAACTAAAAGGATTCCCCATATTTTCTCATATTTTCTCGTTTTTTGTCTTCCCCACCACTTCCCATATTTTCCCATATTTTCTGGGGAATGGAGGATTACTTGTGTCTGTGTGTTTCTTTCCCTCCTGAATCGAGTCGGCAGATCTCGGCAGAAGTCGGCTGCCCAGCCGGAATCGGCAAGAGACGGCAGGGCCGAGTTGGGTCGAGTCGGAAGCCAGCTGGACGGACGCCGGATCGGAATCGATGTCGGCAGGCACAATCTGCGCATCCCCTGGTGGGACTCGTTACGACGCCGTAAGTCGCCCGACGTCGTCGAACGTCGTCGCAATCGTCCGACCGACCGTCGTCTGACGTCGTCACAATCGTCGTTGCAATCGTCGTCGCAATCGTCGTCGTGGGTCGTCAAAGCTCGCCCGACACCGTCGAAGCTTGGCCGGCCTGGGGTCCACACCGTAAACCCCCCCAGAGGAGGGTTTCACCAGACCCCCCCCCCAGGGGGGGGGCCAGACCCCCCCCCCAGGGGGAGTTCGCCAAGCACCCCCCTGGGGATTTCGCACGGAGGGGTTTCGCCAAACCCTTCCCGTGGGAGGGCCTCGCACGGGCGGGTTTCGCCAAACCCCTCCCCCTGGGGGGGGGTCGCACTGCCAGACCCCTCCTGGGGGGGGTCTGGCGAACCCCCCCCCCGGGAGGGGTCAGCAGGCCACTCGGGGGCCCGTCCAGGGACGCGGGGGGCCCCTTGGGGGGCCCTCCGGGGACTGAGAATATCAGCAGACTCTAGAGCAGTTAGAGCAGTAGCATGCATGGATTCAGACACGAGGTTTGAACAAGTGTAGTATCTGTTCCGCACGCATCCGGGCTCGGGGTTTCGCAAATCGGCGAAAGATTTCAGCCTGGTAGCGGAGCCGGGGTTCAGCTCCAGCCTGCCCCCTCTCCGACCAGACATCGGCGCCGCGATAGCAGCGCCGCTCGCGCGCCGCCAGGCGCGCCACGTCGTCACGACGAAGAACATTGACACCGCGCTGAAGCACCAGTCCCTGCCGATCTTCAAGAAGATCAGCTCTACCTCCTACTCTTCTCCCTGTTCTTCAGCGAGACCATATTCGGCGCGACCTGCGCCCACCTCTCCACCTACACCCACGAGTTCGAGACGATGGCGGCCAGAGGCGGAGCAGACTGGAAGCTCCCGACTACGCTGGCAGAGTTCACGTGATCGGTGCCTCCCGGCTGGAAGCCGGGCCTGCCAGATTACACGTTCAAACAATTCCTCGAGCGCCTTCACCTATGGTGGCGTATCACTCTCCTCTCAGAAGAGGAGGCTGGCCCGCTCATAGCCAGCCGACTTTTGGACCAGGCGTTCGAGATGGCCATGACCATGAGAGTTACAAGGAATGGCGAGACGATCACCAGCGACGCGGCTCTTGATCTGGCGAAGCAGAAAGAGCAGGTAGACGCTGCGGGTGAGGTGATCATCCGTGCAGATCCTGCTGGAGTGGCTCTTCTCATTCAGAAGTTCAAGGACGCCTTCGGGATTCACGACCAGGACAAACAGGGCGAGGTGCCCGACAAGTTCTTGGGACACGTGCAGAGGCCCGAGTGGATTGCAAGATTACCGACCTCGCCGAGTTCAATGGGATATAACGCATGATCAACAGGAATGCGCAACAGGAGATGGCAGCAGGCACATCACATCGTCATGCACTGTATGGAGAACTCAACGACGTGGAGCTGAACGATGACGAATACAAACTATCCTTCTACACTGGTAAGGATGAGGATGACGACCACGTCGTCTTCGCAAATAACGAGGACACGGACCTACTCTACAGAGAATATGATACCGGAGGAAAATCCCCGCAGTCGGGTGAACATCTGCGGCACGATGATGTACAACAACAACAACAACAACAACAACAACAACAACAACAACAACAACAACAACAACAAAACAACCACAACGACGACGACGACGACGACGACAACGACAACAACAACAACAATAACAACAACAACAACAACAACAACCACAACCACAGCAACAACAACAACAACAACAACAACAACAACAACCTCCAGGTGGACACCTACGGTTCGATGATAGGCAACAACTCCCAGGTGAACACCTACGACAATCCTAGAGTTCGAATGACTGAAAGACAACATTCGAAAGACAACATTAGGCATCGCGCCATTTTGGCCACAAAGTCGTTGGTAGAGCCCGGTCCAAGCAACAGAGCACGGATCAATTAAGTTTGGAAAACGATCACATGGTGCACCCAAGCTTCACGGAGAGTGAGGCCTGCTGCCGTTGCCGCTCGGACACGCTCTCGATCCTAACCTCTCCTCCTCTCTCGAGCTAAAGAGACCTGATGTTGAACAATACATTGTTCAGCGTTGGTTTGTAAAACGATCTGCACATATTCAACAGCCCTTAGAAAGTATAATCAGACTGAGAATATCAACAGATTTTAGAGCAGTTAGCGCAGTAGCATGCATGGATTCAGACATGAGGTATGATCAAATGTAGTACCTGTTCCGTAAGCATCAGGGCTCAGGGTTTCGCGAATCGGCGAAACATTTCAGTCAGGGGTAGGGCGTGCCGTCGTCACCTCCTCCCTCCACCCACCTCCCTCCTCCCTCCTCCCTCCCTCCTCCCCCCCCCCCTCCTCCGTCCTCCTCCTCCTCGGCCGGGGTCCCTCCGAGCCGACGTCGCCGCCGGAGGCCGCCGGCCCCGCCGTCGGGGGGAGGGGCGGCACTGGCGTCGCCGTCGCCGGGGCGAAGCCAGAGCGGAAGAGATCGGCAAAGGGCGGCTGCCAAATCGAGATCGGCAAAAGCCGGATCAGGCGAACTCGAGCTCGGAGTCGTGAGTCGAAGTGTTCGCATCGAGTGGGGTCGAGTCAGAGCCCCCGGGGAATCAATGCGAGAATCGGCCTGGGGGAGTCGGAGAGCGCCCTGCAAACCCCCCCGAGCCCATCCAAACCCTGAACGCGGCCCCTCGAACCCAGAATGGTAGAGGGCCGAAGAGTCCGACCCTGATATGCCCAAATCTCCGACAATACAGTTTGTTCGGGCCCCATGGCTTCTCTTTCGTTCCAGCCTCTGGGGTCGACGCAGCACGGGTCGTGGGGACGGGGTCGGGCGATCCGGGGCCCGCGTCGTTGAACATACAGCAACCGCTTGCCCAGGGAAGCCGCAGGGCCCGCTTTGGACCCAGGCCCTGGATGTGTGCAACGCGCTCCTTCTCCTGATGACGGCGACGCGTCGGGGACGAGCGCGAAGATGAAGGGCAGCGTCAGCAGCGGCAGCACGGATACGATCAGAGAGGCCTTCCAGGCGTTCTCAAAAGCGTCCTCGTCGCCGACGCTGCCGTCCGGGTCCGCCCCGAGCATCTCGAGCAGCAGCGCCCCGCAGTCGCTTCCAACGGTCTCCCCGAAGCCCCTGCACGCAGCGAGCAGCGCGAACACCGTTGTCTCCATGCCCTTCGGGCAGACGAGCGATGCGACCACCATCGAAGGCAACCACTGCAAAAAACGGGCGCGGCCATCGGTGTGCCCGACCAGCAAGAGAATGTAGTCGGAGATACCCAAAGCCACGTTCAGGCGTGCAAACATCGCCGCTTGCATCAGTCTGGTAAGTATGGCAGCGACATTGCCTACGACCATCGTGTTCCGATAGGACCAGCCGTTCATATATCGGCCGTACAACCATACGCAGCCTAGCTGCGCTATCGAGCTCGCTGGTGAGAGCACCGAGTTGTAAAAGACGGTGGAGAAATGCGGTCCCTCTGGGTACACCTGCTGGCAGGCACCAAATGAAAACAGCCTCGATGGCGACAATGCCCCTCAGCAGATGCTGCCTGGAATTGTTACTCCTGTTATTGGGCAAGCGTCATCCGACATCAAATGTGCAAAAAAAGCCCTGCGAAGCTGGCAACTAAGGTTGTGCCCTTTGTTTCTAATTGAAACACATGCTGTCTATGAGCTAATGTGTACCCCCATTAGAATTTGTCTCCAATTCGAACGCTCCACACCTCCGCGTCGTCCGTGTAGAAATAGTACTCCACTGAGCCGATGCTCCAGCTCAGAGACCCTGAGGGGACCGCACAGCCTTCGATGCCCCCCCTCCCCGGACCTCGGGACCTCGGGGCGAATTCTGCCTCAGACCCGAGGCGATATCCGGCCGCGGCGACCGAGGGCTCCCCCGCAGAAGAAGCCCCGCCAGCACGAGCAAGGACGAGGGCAGGGCGCTGGGCATCGGTGCCCGTTCCTCCCACGTGGAGTCCCTGCACCATGAGGAAGACGCAGAGCGCGGCTATGTTGGGCGCCAGCAGCACCGAGTGCGCGAAGAGCAACACGGCCATCACGCAGACCTCGGAAAACAGGGCGAAGTATTGAGACAACCACAGCTCAAAAATCGGTCCACGGATCCTTCTCGGGGTCGAACCGCACCAATTTTGCAAGCTGCGTCCAGCCGTGGCGGCGAGGGAGCCCCCCGAAGGCAAACTACTGCTGTCTCCACTCGCCCTCCTCTGAAGGCGCGCCAGGGGCGGCGTCGGAGGCGCCGCGAGGTGGGGATCAAGCGCAGATCCAGGAAGACCGCGCGGGGCTCCAAGAGCTTGTGCTCATGGCGTTTCCTATTCCCGAGGACCGACACGGCGCAGGCCGCGGCAGTGCTCGCGCACAGCCCCGCCACCGCCACCGCCACACCCCCCGCGAACAAGAGCACGCACAGCAGCACCAACTCGCCCTGCGCCCAGAACTCAGCGCGGGCGGCCTCCACGTCCGCGTCCGTCTGCCAGCGGTCCCCCAGGTAACCCAGCAACCCTGGGCTTCGTGCGCCCGCAGTGAGTACGGAAAGCATAGGCACAGTGCCCACCAGCAGATGCTGCTCAAATTCGATTGTGCCGCTGTTGGGCGGGCGGCTTTCTGTCGCGAGTGGACCGCGTCCGCGGGGAGGCCGACAGCGAGCCTGGCTCAAAATGGACAGGACCCTCGCGGTCTTCGTCACCGTCCTTCCCATATCCACTTCGACAGTACGCACGGGCGGCCACGGCGGACTGGTGCCGTGATGGCCCCGGCGCTGCCTCCCGACACCGCGCTGACCTCTCGACCTTGAGGGACCAGCGGCCTTTCGATCGCAAGATCCTTCCGCATCGGCAGAGTGTGGGCCGCTGGCGGCGCTCGACCTCGAGCGCCCCCGGCGGGGCAGCTGCCGCGGCGCGGCGAGACGAGCCCACCGCGCACGCGAGAGAGCGAGCGACCCCGGGCAGGGACGACCTCTGGTGCTCGGCCTGCCGACCGCGGCATGCAATGCGACAGGTGGCGGCCTCCCCTGGCCCTCTCCTGGACCTCTTCTTTCTCCTCTTTCTCCTCCTCCTCCTCGCTCCTCGCTCCTCGCTCCTCGCTCCTCGCTCCTCGCTCCTCGCTCCTCGCTCCTCGCTCCTCGCTCCTCGCTCCTCGCTCCTCGCTCCTCGCTCCTCCTCCTCCTCCTCCTCCTCCACCTCCTCCTCCTCCTCGAATTCCTCCTCCTCTTCCTCCTCCTCCTTCTCCTCTTATTATTCTTCGTATTATTATTATTCGGCTTCTCCTTCTTATTATTCTTCTTATTATTACTATTCTTATTACCTAACAGCGAAGACTGATAGGTTTCTAGTGGGATCAAAAGAGAGCAGCAGATCACTCCACAGGGGGGTCCGGGCAAATGTTGGGGCGTTTCCGGGCGGCATGAGCCGGGCTCGTTTTTCACCAACAGTCACACACTTCGTGCTCTTCGCCTTCCCAGAACTCCATTCCCAGGCCACATTCTGGGGGGCCGGATGCAACTGTAGGCCACTTCGTGCTCTTCGACATCCCAGAACGCCATTCCCGGGCCACATTCTGGGGGGCCGGATGCAACTGTAGGCCACTTCGTGCTCTTCGACATCCCAGAACGCCATTCCCGGGCCACATTCTGGATGCCCGGAGCCAACTGTAGGCCACTTCGTGTTCTTCCATTTCCCAGAACTCCATTCCCGGGCCACATTTTGGATGCCCGGAGCCAACTGTAAGCCACTTCGTGCTCTTCGAGTTCCCAGAACTCCATTCCTGGGCTACATTTTGGATGCCCAGAGCCAACTCTAGTCCACTTCCTGGTCTTCGAGTTCCCAGAACTCCATTGCCGGGCAACATTTTGAATAGCCAGACGCTTCATATTCCTTCCGCCACAGCTGTGTTTGGTTCAGGACTTGCTAGTGACACTGCAGTCCTCTGCATTCAATTGGCCACTACATTCATTCACTGCAGTCCACTGAGTTTTGATTGCAATGGCGTTCCCCTGGCCGTACCCCCATGTCCAACGTTCATCCGCAGCCTCTGCTCCGCGAGGCTCGTCCGAAGTGTCGCCGCCTCGCGGTGCTTCTCAGCCTGCGCCGCCTCGCGGTGCTTCTCAGCCTGCGGAGGAAGGTGGACAGACGCCTGGTTCTGGCGCTGTGCAGCCTGCGTCTTTCACGGTCGCCTCGTTCAATTTCGGGTTCGAGCAGGGCATGATGACTGGTAAGCAGGCGGCCACTCACTGCGCTAACTTCGGAAGGTTGTGCGCCAAGATAGTGGAGACCGCTGATGCTGATATGGTCTGTGGCTGCGAGGTCGGTGCGTTCCGTGAAGGCTTTCGCCGAGCAGGGATCAACGTGACAGAGATCCTCAGTAAGCCTTTCGGTGATGGCATTCGCTTCTTGGAGGTCGACAACTACTTGACTCTCTGGGGGTTCCGCGGTGCTTCTCAGCCTGCGGAACTGACTCTGTGCGAAGACAGCAAAGTTTACAGGCCTCCTAGCGGCCGAGATATTGATGCTGTTATTTCACATTTTGAGGTGAACAAACCAGGCCATGACAAGTTCCACGTGGTGATCGCCAACATGCACATCGTGTGCGGCAAGAAACCGCCGAGCATCCAGACTCGAAAGCGGACAGTTCGCCATCTCCGCTTGCACCTGGACGGCCTGGCCAAGATTCTTGAGAATCTAAACGAGGCAGTCGTTGTGCTTGTAGTCGGCGACGACAACCTCACTTTCCAGGAGGCGCGGGAGGCTTACCAGCGCGAGCAGAACGACGAGAAGGTATGGGAGGTCCATGCCACTCCGGCCGACCTCAAAGGCGACCACGTCGCGGTCTGCGGAGCAGTCGCCCGTTTCTGCTCCATTGCCGTTGGCGCGTCTTTTACGGATCGTGGCATGCGCAACGACGCACACGATGCGGTGGCGGTTGTGCTCACTCTCCCTGGTGCTGTTCAGCCTGGGGAGAGCAAGAGGCGGAAAATTGTCGTCGAAAACGTCTCTGACGCCGACGTCAGCGCACAGGCGGACCGCGAGTCTTCTGTGCATTGGGATCGGTCGCCGAGTTCTGCTCCTCCGCTTTCACCGACTTCACCGGGTGATCCCGACTACGTCGAGGATGTCGTTCAGAATCGCGCGGACGACTTGCACAGGGAGCTGAGGCAGCTTTGGGGCGACAGGTACGACGAGGAGTACGATCCGAAAGTCCTCCATCATCTCAGTCTCTTGCTTTTCAAAAAGAGGAAGTCCACGGAGCCAGCGGACACTGATCCAGCTGGCGCTCCTCAGCCTGGCTCGGAATATGACGCGGCCTTTGCGTCTCAGGAGGAGACTGGCCGAGCCATTCTCTCTGTCCTTAAGCTTCGACATGACTTTCTGCGGAGCAAGAACATCGACGACATGCGCTACGTTCTCACGGAGCCTGAGCGCCAGGAATTGGTCAGAGTAGCTCGCGACCAGTACGAGCAGTCGCGGCAGCAGCGTGCGCTTCAGGAACGGGATATCGAAAAGGGAAAAGCGAAAGGCAAGTCTGCGCCACAAGGGGGCCATGCGGTTCCGCAGGGTCCGAACAAAGGGCCAGGCGGTAAGAAAGGTTCTCACGGTGCTTCTCAGCCTGCGGGAAAAGGTGGCCAGGCCAAGGGTGCAGGTCTGGGTAGCGTCGCCAAGTTTGTGAAAGACCAGAAGCGTAAGCGGTGGCATCGCCATTTGCAACGTGTGGCCGGTACCAAACAGATCTGGGAGGTGCTGGCCTTCTCAGGGCGCTTCGACGTTGATTGGTTAACGCAAGCGTTGCAAGCTGATCACAGTGAGGGCCGTGATGCAGCAGTTCCCGAGGAAGCTCTGCGGCAACAGCGGCGCCGGCTGCACCACCAGAAGGCCGAGGCCATCGCGCGCTACAACGAGGGGGAGCGGCTTTCCCTCCATCTGTCTGCCCAGGCTGGCCAGGCAAAGCCGAACTTCACGCGCAGGCAGCTGGACGTGTTGCAGATGTTTGAGAGCGGAGCGCTGCTTCAAATCCGCAACCAAGCGATTCTGGCGTGCGGGCACGGCCGTCTGTTCAGGGGCGATGGCGACTACCTGGACATCGGCGGCAGCACGGGCGGTGGCTCCAGGCGCATCATCGATTCTTGGCAGCCGCCGGACTGGCGTGACTTCCTCCAAGACGATCAGGACATCTGAGTTTTGCAAGTCTCTCTGCCCGCGGTGCTTCTCAGCCTGCGGTCTGCCGCTCTCCAGCTGCGGTCTCGAGCAGTAGTGTTCGAAAGCATGCGAGTTCCTGCGGTGCTTCTCAGCCTGCAGGTTTCGCAGCCTGCGCTCTGCAGTACAAGTGCTTTTCAGCATGCGACATCCTGCGGTGCTTCTCAGCCTGCAGGGTTCGCAACGTGCGGTTTGCAATGCATTCCTTTTCAGTATGCGAGTTCCTGCGGTGTTTCTCAGGCTGCAGGGCTCCGAGGCTCTTCGCTTCGATGCCAATGTTTTCAGACACCGTAGCTCCGTTCCGTAAACGTCTTCCAAGAGCCGCTCGCAACCTTTTGCAGCTGGCTGTCTGCACGCTTCGCCGGCTTTTGCTGCGCGGACAATTTTCTCACACACGTCAGCGCCGTTTGTAGGCGTCAGAAAAACATGTAGACATTCACGAAGGGCTCAGTCTGTATATCGTCACATCATTACATACGCAGTCGTCGAACACATCGGTGTACATTCAGCGCTTTGTCCTTCTACAGCATTCTTTCCGTTGATAACAGTGTTCTGATGGGTTCGCTTCGTTCTAAAAGCGTTGATAGCAGTGTCTCGTTTGCGGACAACTCATTCTATATCAACTCACTGATACCGAGTTTCCTTTCACCATAAGTGAATGCATACCAGTGTATGTTGGTTACTACAAAAGTGGGTTCCTACAACCGACTTCATGATCGCTATCATCATCGCAGATTTCACTCATCCTCATCACCACGACTGGTTCACGTTGGCCTGCGGTGCTTCTCAGCCTGCAGTTCCTTTCGTTACACTGTAGTTGAAGCCGTTCATGGCAGTGACTCGTTTAAAGACAACTTTAGTATTGGGGGAAGTGTCGATAGCAGCGTTTCTTTTTACTTATACAAGCGTTGATAGCAGTGTCTCGTTTGTGGACAACTCATTATATATCAACTCATTCATACAGGGTTTCTTTTCGCAGCAAGTGAATGCACAGCAGTGTATCTGCATTACTGGCCCCCACTCCATTATCACTATCATCATCAACGATTTCCTACACGCGTGTGCGCGGCGGTCGCCATGAGTGAATAGTTTGCAGAGACTTCTCGCATTGATACCCATGGGTCACTTCAGAGTGAACTCATTTGTGATCTTCTTTCATTGGAAGTTGAATCGGTTGATGGCAGTGCCTCGTTTAAACTCCACTTTGGTATTGCTAGTAGTGTCAATGCCAGCGTTTCTTTTTAATTGTGCAAGCGTTGATAGCAGTGTCTCGTTTGTGGTTAGTTATAACAGCGTTGACAGCAGTGTCTCGTTTGCGGACACCTCATTGTACATCAACTCGCTGATACCGGGTATCATCATCATCCTCATGTTTGCTGTTTCATCCACACCTTTGCGCTGCCATGTTTGCTCGAGTTTCACCTGGCCGTCCAGCCGCGGCGGTGCTCCTCAGCCTGCCTTGTCACAATGCCAGCACGCGGCAAGGCATCGCCCCCGCCACCCCCGGCCCCGTGCGATGGCCCGTGGGAGATTCTGCCGGATCCGCCCGCACCGACTCCTCAGCCAGGTGTCGACGTGGTCTTTGAGCAGGCTCACCTCGAAGACATCCGCCGTACACCAGGGATGGGCGGCAAGACCGCCTGCCAGTGGCAGCGCGCGCTGCGCGCCGAGTGCATTGTCAACAACTTGTCGTTCAAAGACGTAACAAACGACCCGTCCTACGACTGGAAGCAACTGCTTCGGTCTGCCGCTCCGGGTTTCGCTGAGCGCATAATCGGGCAGGGCATCGCCCAGGTTCTCTTTCGCATCATCGAGACAGAGCGCGACCCTA